AGGGGAGCATATGTTATACTCAAAGGAGTTTAATTGAGAGTTGGGGGGGTCATAGCGGCGCCAATGCGGAAGCTGTGTGTATTAAAACCTTCAATTGAGATCCCACAAGCCACAAGGGACCTCAACAACATACAGTGGAACTGGTACGAGGTCCGTGGGGTGCCGTCAATGTGGATGAAAAGAGGACCCTGACGTGCAGGCCGCAGTTTCAGGTAACTGGATACCAGGGCCACGGGGCAAATGCTGGGGGGCTGTTGGGGCCTGAGCTGCAGGTTAGATGAGGTGCCGCGCTGATCGGTTTAGAAAACCTAATGGTGACGACTAAACTGGCTGCAGGGGGGGACGTAACTGAGACGTCGCGGACACTCAGGATCTTGGAAGTGTCGCAAGATCGGCTGGGGGCAGAGAACTCCCCAACCCGCAGGCAGCCAAAAAGGCGAGCGAGAACGCCGCGCAAAAGAGGTTGGCTTTAAGGTCAGAGAAGGTAATTGTTGGCATAATGTTGCATAATTTCGTAAGCAACTTGGTAGTAATGGGGCGTCTGGAATCGGTGCTAGGCTTGAGCCTGCGGTAGCCTTCTTTAACTTTTTTTACGAGAAAGGAGAGAGTAGGGTCAGGCCAACTATTGATTTTGTGAATGTATACCACTGCAGCAGAGTATGTACCAATTGTGGACGGTGCCAGACCTACCGCAGACAGATGCGCAACAAAGGCAGCGACATGACTACTGGGGGCAGGCTACACAAGGGGGAGCTCAGCCTGGATCCGGAATTGGTTGAAACATGCGGCACCCCGCCCATACGCTTCCCATGTGCTACTTGAGAAAGAAGCCCCCAGAAGTAGAAGTATACGGGCATTTAGAGCTTCCAAAGAAATTCCACGACCTCCATCCCTTGGGGGGCAGCCAGTGGGGCCAGGAGTCAGAATCGGAGCATCTGTGAACGAGAGAGCGCATCTGCTATGTTATTGTGGGCTCCTGGGATATGCCGGGACTTGAACTGAACATTGGCACGTAAGCATTGTAAAACAAAGAATCTAACTAATCTCATTACTTGAGGGCACTTAGAGGACTGCCTGTTGATGATGGAGACCACAGCAGTGTTATCAGTACGGATTAGCACTCTTTTGCCCGATAGACTCCCACCCCACAGCGCGAGGGCCGCTATTACTGGGAAAAATTCCAACCAGGCGATGGAGGGCCTGGAATCGCGTATGGATTGGGGCCATGTACCACGGAACCACCTACCCTGGAAGAAACCCCCAAAACCTATTCCCCCGCTAGCATCGGGAGAGAGTTGAAGATCGT